GTGGGTGCGTGGGCCACATCAGAAGGCCGGCAGGTGTGGTCCCTTTCAGGGCCCAGGGGCCTGACCAAGGGCCTTAACACCTGCCAAAGGGGCTGCAGCTGCTTCTCTTGGCCCTGTGCTCCCTCAGTGTCCCAAAGTCAAGGAATTTGGCTAGGAAAGTGGCCTCTGACTTAGAAAATGGAAATGGCTCCCTGCTGTAGCATCCTTGTCCCAAACCAATAAGGACAGAAGCCAGGAGGCCCGTGGGAGGAGGGCTGGAGGTCAGACTGGACTTCCCCAGGAATAGCTGGGCTCCCCAGGGGACACAGAAGCTTTTTCTGATGTGACCCTTCATCCATGAAATGCAGGCATTGACCCTTCCCGGACCTGCAGAAGTCTCAGTGACTCAGGTCCCACAGCCAACTCCTGCTCCGTAGGGGAGCCTATGGGCAGTGTCCATCCTGAGCACCTGTCTGGTGCAGCAGAAGGTGAGAGGGCTGACCTCCAGCCCAGGCCTGGCTCCAGACAGATACACTTGCTGACGTAAAACCCCAGTGTTGGTTCCCATATCTTCTCCAAGCCACTGGGAGGCGGTATCAAACACTGTCCACCTCCACCCAGACCTGGGCCTCAGGGCCTAGCCTCCCAACTATCCCAGCAGGGCCCATTGGCCCTGGAACTTGCAGAACAATTCCATCCACCCCTTCCTACAGGCTGCACTGAGTGCTGAGCACCAGGCTGGGTCAGCGTGGCTTTCTGAGCCACGTCTGCGCATCCACTGAACTCACCTGGACTTGGAGTTCATGGGGTCTCTGCCCCGCCCAGCACGCCTGTGCGCTGAGACTGCAGACTAGGAGAGGCAGCAGGGAGGTCGCAGAGAGCTAGGAGCCTCACCCCCAGCTGGGTGTCCCGTGGGCAGCCCTCAGTGCTGGCTGCAGGCCTGGCCTGGCCAACCTGCCCCGCGCATGCTTCCCGCATGCCACCCCTGACCTCTCCTTCCAGAGAGACAGACAGCAGCCTTGGGGTCCAAGGGCCATGAGCCACATCTCCAGAGCATTCCAGGGAGGCCTTTGGCCTGGTCCATGACCCACAGTGTCTTGAGCAACTGGGCAGCCTGTGACAGCATGGCCAGTGGGCAGCTCCCCAACAGTGGCCACATACCAGGAGATAAGGACAGTTGACCCTGGCCAGGAGAGCAGAGCTAGCTCTCCCACGATGCCACGGCAGGGCAAGAGGCAGGCAACGAGGGCCTGGCTCTCCGTGTAGCCTCACGGAGCCCACGGCCCCTGGCCAGCCAGGCTGTGGTCTGTGGCTCAGGCAATCAGGGAGCCTAGTGGGAGCCATGAGCTGGCAGGCAGACCCCCTGGAAGCTCCTCTTCTTGAGTTTAATCTAGAAGCATCACCCAGACCAGCTGGCTCTCAGGGGCACTGGGCGCCATGGACCACCTGGACAGAGCCCAGCACCTGGGCCCCTGGTGCAGAGTCCTGGCGTGAAGCCAGAGCCACTCTCTAGGATCCCGAAGCCAGTTCACAGGCCTCCTTCCCCGCTGCCACCTTCGCCCTCCTAAGGGGGTCCAGAGGCTGTCCGGCTCTCAGACCACCTCTTGGGGCCACTTCTCTGACAGCTCTCACCATCTGCCTGGGTCCTGCCGACCCCCACCCTGGTGCTGAGTTAGAGAAAGGCCAGGCTGGGCTGCCTCCCGTGGGCCTCTCACCAGGAAGGCACCAGTCAAGCTTCTGTCCTGCTTCTGGTGTCCAGCAGGCCTGGAGTGCAGCCCCAGGAAGATAGGGGGGCGGGTGGCTGAGGAAGAGCGGGGATGCTGGGCTCTTGCTGCCTTCGATCACCACAGTGTGGGGCCCTGTGCTTTCAGCTTCTGGAGACACAGGGCCGGGGGTGGAGGAGCAGGGCCACAATCACCGTCCACATCCACCAGTCAGCCCACACTGAGGTCCTGCAAAGCTTTGAAGCAGGCCTAACCTGAGGCAGGTTCACCCGACGCACCAGCCTTCGTGGAAAAGCAGGTTGGAACCAGCTGCCAGGAGGCTTGGTGTCCAGCTTGGGTACGAAAGGGTGCCCATGGGAACAGGAGAGGCCTCAGCACACAGGTCAGCAGCTAAGCCCACAGAAACCTGACTGGTCGGACCAGCTGAGGCTACTGTGAGTTAGAAAGGCTTCTGTGACCTGTGCCCAGGGCCACAACTTGGTCTGACTCCTGAACTCCAGGGCCCTCCCCAGCCCTGAGGCTAGCTCTGGAGAGCTGGACAGGCAGCACTGTCCAGCCCTTCTCAGCAGCCCAGGTAGCATGTGCCCAGTGTCACCAAGACCATCAGGGACAGGAGCTCACGCCTCCAGCCAGGCAGCCTTGGTGAGAGGCTCTGTGCAGAGAAACCCACCCAGGGCCGAAAGCTGGGTAGGTGCTGCACCTAGGCACTCAGGGTGACAGGAGGCAGGCCCCACTGCACTCCAGATGTGACCGACCCTCCTCCACAGATCCCTGTAGGCGCCAACCGCAGTGCAGCCTGGAGACAGGGACCCCCTCCCTGCAGTCTCACCCTGCATGCGGGAGACCCTCAGGACTGAAGCCCAGGAGGCTCCAACCTCATTCTCGGTCGGGGCTGAGGGCTCCCAGCCTCTCCAGAAGCCGGATGCAGGTCCTGGGCCCAACGTGTATGAGTCCAGATAAGTCCCAAAGACCTACTCCGGCCACTGCGGAAAGAGTCCCCAGTGTGCTGGGTGGGGTAAGGAGCCAGCCAGGGGCTGGCAGAGACCAGGTCAGCATCAGGGTGGCAGGACACGGGCCTTGGGAGTCAGGTTCGTGCCAACTGGACAAGGAGGGTACAGGCTGAGGCTGTCCCCGCTCTGGAGTCCTGAGCGCCCCTGTTCCCTGCCTGGCTCCCATACGGAGGGCTCTGCAAAGAGAGGTCCAGGACAGACCCTGAGACCACGAGGCAGGTCCCTCTAGCCAGGCCGGCTCCGGGGTGGGTCTCTTGCTGTGGGTCAGCGTCCACCTGCCTAACCTTGGGTTTGACTGTGACCAGCTCCTGCTATTGCCACCAGTTACACTCAGCTGTTCCCCACCCTGTCACCTGCCCCTGCCTGTCCCATGTGGGCAGCAAGAGTCCTGGGTGGGCAGGACAAGTTCTCTTGCCCTTCAGCATCAGCTGGGCCCCACGTGGAGGGGCCGGGGGCCTGGGTTGGTGGTCTCCCTGAAGCTCACTCTCAGAACTCTACCCAGATGTTGTCTCACAAGGGCTGGCCAGATAGAGCCCACAGAATCCCTGGGAGGACCAGTCCCTGGTCACAGGGAAGGACAACCCAGGCTACTGAGCATGAGGAGACCCCAGAGTCACACCACTGCACTCCAGATGTGACCGACCCTGCTCCAGGTGCTGCTTCTAGGAGGCTCAGTGGGCAGAGGGCAGGGCGGGGCCAGAGGACGGCTGGTTTGCTGCAGGAGACACGGGGCGGCAGTGTCTTTGTGTCAAGGAGGGATTGTGCTGGGTTTGGGGACACCAGAGGCGGCAGTGTCCTTCTCAGTGACCTTCTGCTGACAAGATGCAGCAGCGGCAGTGGGAGGGCGCCAGGCCCCCCAGGGCTCCATAGGCCCCTGAGGCACAGGAGAGCAGAGCTAGGGGCCAGAGGGTGTGTCCCCATGAGGTCCGGGAAGCAGAATCAGCCCAGGATGAGAGGAGGCCAGGCAGGGGGCGGGGCGGCTCCCAGGCATCGGCCTCACTGGGACCAGAGCTCGCACGCCATTCCAGTCGCGGTGTCACCTCAGCCTGCACAGGCAGGGACTTCAGCTGGAGGCTGTGCAGCTGCTGCTGGCCCTCACCCAGTGCCCACTGATGCCTCCCTCAGTGAATGCTGGGTTCTCCAGACCCCTGTCCCCAGCAGCCACAGAGGAGGTGGACTCTCAGTGGACAGACCCTGCAAGTCACCCCAAGCCACTGCACATGCTGAGGCGCTGAGTGGAGGCTGGTGGGCATGACCCCAAACTGCACAATCATGCTTTAAAATGCAGCCGCCTCCGCCTCTGCTAGCCCTCCAGGGAGGGGTCCCGTCCTGCACTCACCTGACCACAGGCTTTTAACAACATTGTGGTGGACGATATACAAAAGAAAAAAAAATCTGGAACTGGGGATTGAACCCAGGGAACTTTACCACTGAGCTACATTCCCAGCCCTGTTTTAACTTTTTTTATTTTGAGATAGGGTCTCCCTAAGTTTCTCAGGCCAGCCTGGAATTTGCAGTCCTCCTGCCTCAGCCTCCCAAGTAGCTGGGATTATAGGCGTCCACCACCATGCCTGCTAAAAAATATTTTTTTTTATTCAAAAACTAAGAAAATACAGAAAAACTGCAAAGATAAAGTTGACCTGTGAGTGCTAGCTGGTAGACAGCTTGCCCAGTATGTGACAGGTCCTAGGTTCTATCCCATTACCATCAAAAAAAAAAAAAAAAAAGACAACCACTACCAGTATGTGCCTCAGGAAGGGACGCCCAGGCGTATGTGTGTGATGAGGCTCCCAGGCCCTTGGTCTCTGCCTGGCCTCGTGTTTTGGGGCTGCTGGGTGGTCAGAAGTGCCCAGTGAGGCTTACCAGGGAGGCACAGGGCAGAGCATGTGCCTCGGAGGGTGGTGGGGCTAAGAACCAGCATTAAACCCCCAATCCTCCGTCTCAGGAGCTTGTCACCATAGAACAGTACCTTTGTCAGAGCTACATATCCTGGCGCCCAGTGGAGGGGCAGGCCCAGACCCTGTGGAGACCCTGTCCACACAGACCTGTGTTTGCACCAGCCAGAACCCCAGAACATGCTACCACTGAGCATGGCAAGGTCACTCAGAAGGGCAACCTGGCTGGCATAAGCACCTTCAAAAAGAACCCGGGTGAGGGGTGGTCCATCCTGCAGACCAGCGAGCACAAGGACTCCCTCTGCTCTCGGAGGCTGGCTCTGGGCAGGCTCCCGTCTCCCCCTTTTTTCTGCACTCCTGACCTGGGCCTGTTTGCTCCTCTTTACCTGTAGAGCTGCCTGCCTCGCCAGCTGCCCACAGTCCCCAGGAAGGTGACAGGAGCCCTGTCAAGATGCAGGTGGCCTTTACCATCAAAGGGATGAAGATGGCAGCTCAGTCAAAGGCCAAGCCCACCAGACTCTCCAAGTCTCATCCTGCAAGGCCTAAAAGCTGCCAGCAGCCGCCCAGGATCCGCAACTACAACTGGAAAGACTGACTTCCTCGGCCCCCTGCAAAGTGGGCCCCACCACAGCCTCCCCGTGGGTGCTTGGGGCCTGCCCATTCACCTGCCTGTCACAGGGGTGCTACAGGTGGCCTGTGGTGGAGGAGCTGTGAGCTACAAGGTGGGCTTCCCAGGACCACCGAGTTGGCCTCTGAGCCATTAAAGCTCCCGTGCCTCCCTCCCACACGGCTCCGCTGGCAGAGTTGTCTGTCTGTCCTCCTTGAGAAATATTAGTGCACGTGCCAGAGCCTGGCCTGGCCTCTGTCACCTGCCTGTGTCACGACCCACAGCCACCGGTACGCTGGCCGTGTCGCAGACCATGAGGCCCTCCCCAAAGCCCAGTGGGGTGCAGAGCAGAACACTCACCAGAAAAGCCAGCCCGCCCCTAGTGAATGCCATGCCAGGGGCCCCCCTGAAAGGACCCCTCCAAAGGGGTTTGGAGAACACCCAAGTGAGCCTGAACCTGGGGCCCAGATGGTCCCCTTTCATGAATGCTGGGGTGTTCACTCTGCATACTGCTGGGTAGGGGAGGTCCCCCAAACACAGTGGGTTACCCCACATTGGACAGTAGCAAAGCCTTCTGTCCAGTGGGATGTTTGGATCTGGCCATTGCCAAGGATGAGACACTCGTGTCCACTCTATTACTCCAAGAGCCATAGGAACACACATTCCCACCAAAAACCCTGGCCCAGCATCCCTCTGGCCTGCTGCCACGCAGACTCATTCTGTGGCCAGGACAGTGGCCACCACCATGCAGAGTGTTAGGGGCCTGTCCCACTCCCACTCTCCCAGATCCCTTGGCCCTTTCTCCCCTGGTGTCTGGGCCTGTCCATGTCCTACCCATAGCAGAGCTCATGAGGCTGTGGCCTCATTCTGGGCCTCACGGAGTGCTCTTCAGCAGCCTTGCCCCTTCTGAACCCAGCAGGCAGCTTCTGTGGGAGGTCCGTGGGCAAGGCTGCACCCAACCTCAACTTACTGCGTGATTTGGCAAACCATGTGATCTTTGTAGCTTCGCACCCATGTAAACTATGGATAGTGACCTCTCCCTGTCTGGCACACAGGTGTATGGCTTGGACAAGCAGCCAGACACAGGAGAGCCCACACTGGCAGCGTGGTCCACAATGCAGGCTGAGAGGTCAAAGACCAGGTCAGAATGACTGGCAGATCACTGCTGCTCCACCGTGTGTGCTCACTGTTGGCTTCATCCCTTTCTTCAGGTGCACACAGCCAGGATCCCCCTGCACACACTGCTTCCTGGAGCCACGGCCATGCAGGCTGTCCCAGGGTTCCAAGAAGCAGCAAACTGCCAGGAGCCATGTGCACACTGATCCCAGCAGCTCCAGAGGCTGTGGGTGGAAGATGGCAAGTTTGAGGCCAGCCTCAGCAACTTAACAGCAAGACCCTGTCTCAAAAATAAAAAGGGCTGGGGATGTAGCTCCGCAGAGGAGCACCTCTGAGTTCAATCCCCAGTACTAAATAAATAAAAATAAAAGGGCTGGGGATGTGGCTTAGTGGTAGAGCGCTTGCCGGGCACATGTGAGGCCCTGGGTCTCGGGTACCCCCAGTAAAAAAGCAGCAGCAGCAGCTAAGCTGCCCTCTCACAGGCCGGATGCAATGCAGCTTTGCCTGGGGCAGGTGGGGGGGTGCGCCCTGAGCTCCCACTTAAGGGCACACATCCCTGAGGTGAGGCTTTGCCTCTTCCTTGCTGTGACTGAAAACGTGGCCAGGAATGCTGCCTTCCAGAGATTTGAGTCCCCAGTGGCCCTCCTCTGAGGACAAGCCCAGGCTCAGGTTCAGTGTGATCATACTGAGGTCATAGCCCCGTCACCTGAGCACCTGCAGGCTAAGAGGCAGAGCCCTGCTGACCACTGGATGGCCAGCCCACAGCCAGGGAGGCGTGAGTCTGATAGTCTCCAATGTACACACAGCTGGGGTTTTCAGGGCTCCAGATGGCCCCCAAATTAGAAGAGAATCAGAGGAGGGGCCATGTGAAGCCCCTGAAGTGAGGACAGAAATCCGCCTGGGACCTGGGGTTCTATGCCCCGCTATACTTAGGAAGTGGGGTTCTGAGTTAGGCACCTTGTGGACCCTGGGAGGCAGGGGCAGCGCTGGGAGCTCAACGTGTGGATTAAGTGCAGGAGTCAGAGCCCTTGGAGGTGCCTGGGGAGCGACCTGCATACAGCTCCCGGGTGCCCACATAGAGGACGAAAGGCTCCAGGGGTTGCCAGGGCGCACTGGTGACGAAAGTGATTTCGGGAAAGCCAGGCGGCTGTCCCGGCAAGGGCCAACACAGCCAGGGACTGCCAGGGCTCCCTGGCCCCTGGGACCCCTGCTCTAACCAGGCCGGCCGCGGCCTTCCTGGACTCTCAGGAGACCCCAATCCTGGGGCCATCTCTTTTTTGTTTTGGTTTTTCCCAAAAATTCTGTAACACTTTGAGCAGAGAAGTCACTAGGGAGTGAGAGAGGGCGCCGGAAGCGCGCGGCCTCCCGGGAGACGGGCAGCGGCTCCTTTGTTCCCACCACTCCTGTTGGGGTCCGGCGGGCCGCTCGCCAGCCTGCCGTGCCCCGCCCCCGCGCTGGCTCCGGGGCCGCGAGTACGCCCGCGTCTCCGTGCCCCGGGCGGCCTCCTGGGAGAATGGTGGGTGCCCCGGGGCGGCCTGCGCGGCGATGACCGGCAGTAACCCCGCCCGCGGCGCTCTGGGCCGGGGTCAACGACCGCGCTCGCGCTGTGGCCCGCGCCGCGCTGCGCGGCCAGCCGCGGGTCCATCACCCTATCACCTAGCAACGCCCACTCGCGCACCACCATTGGAAGGACGCGAGCGGCTCCGGCGTCCGATTGGCCGTCGCGGCGGCGCAGGCCACGCCCCCCAACTCCGCGCGCGCACGGCGGTGGCGGGGTCTCGGCGGCGCGAGTTCCGGGGACGCGGGCCGGTTCCTGGGGTTGGGCTGTCTGCGCTTGCCCGGCGCGGTCCCGGCGTGGCCCCGGTTAGTCCCAGTGTGAACCAAGCACGCTGTCCCACCTAGCGCGCGTGCCGCACACGCGGCGAGAGGAGCGGGGCGCTGGGGTGGGCGCCGGCCTGACCCGCGCGCTGTGCCCCGCGCAGGGAGGGAGCCGGGGCGGAAGCGGAGGGGCGCGCGCCCGCACAGGCCGGGCGGGGGGTGGCGCGCGCGGGCATCACCCCACCGACGGCGGCGCGCCGGGTCCCGGGGCGCAGCCCCGACGCTCATTGGCCTGGGCGGCGCAGCCAAGCTGTCAGCCCATGTGGCGTGGCCGCGCGGGGATGGCCGCGGTTTAAATAGCGCCGGCGCGGCCTAGAGGGAGCCAGAGAGACCGCAGCGGCACCCGCTCCGCTCCTTCCGCCGTGCTCACCGTCCGCCGCCTGCCGCTCGCCGCCGCCGCCGCCACCGCCGCTGCCGCCTGGTCCAGGTACGCGGCGCTCCGCGGGGCTCGGAGTCGGGCGGCGGGGCAGGGACCGCGCGGCTGGCGACGGCAGCGGCCCTCTCCTGGGCCCCTGGCGGCCTGGAGGGCGCCGACCGCGGGCCTCCGCGCCCACAAAGACTCAGCCCGGCCGGCACGCGCTCCCACCGGCCGCGGCCCCGGGCAGCCCGCCGGGCCGGGCCTCTGGACCGGGAGGGTGCGGACGGGGCGGCGGCCAGCCCCTCGGCCGGCCGGCTGGCTACCGTCACGTGGCCCGCGGGTTGCGGGAGGTAGGGCGCCGCGGGCCTGCAGGCGGCCCGCGTGGACGCGGCGAGGGCGGGCGCCGGAGCCTTCACTCGCGCCGGGGGCCCAATTCGGTGCGCGGGGCGCAGGCTGAAAGAGGCTGGTGGAGGCCCTGGGAGTGCACGAGGCTTTGGCGGAAGTTGCCGGACCAGCCGGCCTGCCTCCTTACCTGGGGCCCGGCCCCTCGCCTTCAAGGCGGCAGAAATCCTCCGCGCTGGACCCCTGGCTTCGGGCTCCTGGGCAGATGTTTCAGGAACTTAGATTCTTGGCAAAGCCCACTGCGGCCTCGGCCTGGGCACAGAATCCTGAGGCCTCACCTGCCCAGTCTGGCAGGAGTGGTGCTCCAGGTTGGATCCTGCTGGAAGACCCGTCCTACTGGCAGAGGCCACCTTTACCCCATTTCCTCAAGGTCTTGGCACCCATAGTGCCCAGGCTTGTCCCCCCTGGGTCCCTCCCAGCCCTGGCATCTTGTATGGTGCCCTGGGCAGCAGCCAGCCCCCACCCCCAACACAGGGGCAGCACCATTCTCCCAGGGGCCTGGGATGAGCATCCTTGCTGGTTGACCAGACAGACCCTGGTTTCCTGCTGGTTCTCTGGAGCGCCACCTTTTTCTGCCCTGGCTGGCCCTCCCTGGGTGGAGCTGGCATAGCTCCTGCTGACTGCAGAGGGTGGGGAATCAGGGCAGCACAGCATGGTGGGGTCAACCGAGGTCAGGCCTCTGCACAGAAAGGGTCAGAGCTCCTGAGGTGGCAGGCCAGAAGTAAGACCCAGGAACACCAGTCTACCCAGTGAGAGGGGAGGGTAGGGCCTGGTTCCAGGTCTCCACGTGGGGCTTTCTAAGTGCCTGTCCTCAGGCTAGCACTCCCCACCATCAATGGATCAGGGCGGTCCTCACCAGGGGCCTGCTATGCCCCTGAGGCACTGGTGGTGTGTGTTGAAGCAGGGACTGACCTACCTTGGGCTCTCCACAGAGGAACCATGGAGGAGGTTGTGATTGCTGGAATGTCGGGGAAGTTGCCCGAGTCGGAGAACCTGCAGGAGTTCTGGGCCAACCTCATTGGTGGTGTGGACATGGTCACAGACAATGACCGGCAGTGGAAGGCAGGTGAGTGGATGCAGGCCCCAGCTGGAGGAGGGCAGCTGGAGGGTGCTCCCGGCTATGCCTCAGGCTCTTCCAGACCCTGCCTGCCGAGCAGGGCTTGTGAACTTTGCCCTTCCTGGGCCAGCTAGACTCTTAAGAGGACAGGTGTGCTGCTGGAGTCCTGTGTCCAGGGTGCTGGAGACAGGCCCTTCTGGCGAGCTGCCTCCACCTGTGCCCTGCACTCACAGACACCCGGGAGGCTGGCTCAACTCTCATGCCCAGTGGGTTCTTCCACAAAGCAGTGCTACCTGATGGATGGGTGTGAGTCAGCATGGTGGGTCTGGCCTGGCCTGGACACCTTAGGATGGGCAGAGGGTCTCCCTGCTGGGGTCTCGTGAGCAGCAGGGACAACTCCTGGCTTCCTGCAGCAGTCTCTGCTCCGGAGGGTTCCTTCTGAGAGGTGGGGCTGGGCGTGGCAGACCTGCCTTGGTGGCTCCCCAGAGCCACTGAAGAACAGGGTTTCATTATCTCCTCTGGCTCCAGGCCCCTTGTGACACCCACGGATACCTCTGTAGAGATGAAACCTGTCTCTGTGTCCACAGGGCTCTATGGTCTGCCCAGGCGGTCTGGCAAGCTGAAGGACCTGTCCAAGTTTGATGCCTCCTTCTTTGGAGTCCACCCCAAGCAGGCGCACACCATGGACCCCCAGCTTCGGCTGCTGCTGGAGGTCACCTATGAGGCCATTGTGGATGGAGGTGGGTGGAGGAGTGCTGCTGGCCACCCTGGGGGCCTGCAGTTAAAGAATCTTCCTCCTGGCTTCTCACTGCCTCTGCAGTGGCCAGGGCTGGGGCTGCTCAGCTGGCACTGGCCGGCATGCCCGAGGCCCCAGCACCACGGAAAAGCAGAGGAAAAAGCCAAGTGCCAGCCACGTCTGTTGGCTCTGAGAGGGCCTGGAGTGTCGGAGAGTGGCGTGAGCCACCTTCTCCTGACCCTGACTGGGGGCCAATGGCTTGGGAGGCGGGCCCTGGGCAGATGGAAGTTTCACAACCGCACACCAGCCGTGTCCCAGGTGTGCCCCATTGCCCCAGTTTCCTCACTCCTGGCGCCTGGCTGGTCTTGGCGAGGGTGGGGCTGACAGCAGAGCAGGTAGCTCTGGCCAAGGGGGGCTCGATCTCCTGCCAGGGCCATAGCCCCTGTGCTTCTACACCCCTGCCCCCAGCAGAGGCCCTGGGCAGCCTCAGCTTGGCTTCGACTTTGAGAGGCCCTGCCCTGCTGATGTGCAGGGTGCCTCCACAGCTGTCTCTGTCCCTGGGTCCTACCACTTGTGGCAGGGATTCGTCCCCAGCAGGCAGACCTTGTCAGGTGGTTGGGGTGAGCCTCAGGTCACTGGATGCTGACCAGCCCAGAGCGGCTGTTGCAGGCCGTGTGGCTCACTTGTACCCACCCTTGGATGAGGATCAGCTGGCAGGGCAGGACCTTGGTGGCCTCTGCAGTGGGAGCAGCAATGGTGGAGGCCCCTGCCTTAGGCTTTCCCACTGCCCAGGCCCATCCTGGATAACTTGCACAGCTTCCTGGGGACTGTCCAGTGTCCCTCTTTCCAGTCTGGACACTCGGCCTTTGTCTCCCTGCTGCTCCTTATCTCAGCCTGTCCCAGGGCAGGCTGCCCTTGGAGCTGGGATGCTCATTGGCCAGTGGGTTTTTCAGACTCACCAGTGATACCAAGGGCCAAGGGAGTTGCCTGGGGACAATACTGTCCACTGTCCTTGTGGCTGCCTATGGCTGCCGCCTGACCTAGTTGGGGATCCGCCTGTCCCACTGATGCCCCATTTCCTCTGTGACCTGGTCTGCCACGCGACCAGCGCTGGCTTCATGAAAAAAGTCTCGATCCATGAGTAAATGCTAGGGAGTTTTAAATTAAAGAGACAAGACTCTTATTACCTTTAATACCAGCTCCGGGACGGCTTCTCCTAGCTCCCGCCTCCAGCCACCTAATGCGGTAGCGAGGTTTACAGAAGAGACTAGCGAGAGAGAAAGAGAGAGAGAGAGAGAGAGAGAGAGAGAGAGAACACACCAGGGAGTGAGCTTTTATTGGGGAACAAAAAGTCCCAAGGAAAATCACATCCAATGAAGGTTAAGGGGGGGTAGCCTCCCAAGGTCAGGGGCGACGACTGGGTCTTCGGGGCAGTGGCCAGACAGGCCTCTGCACGGACAAGCCCTCGGACCTGGAGAAGGGTGGGGGATAGCTCTGACACAGTTGTGTTTAAGGGCCTCTCACCCAGCCAGGGAGGTAACTCAAATCACGTGCGAGGATGGCCTCCCACAACCTGGTTCTTATTTCCCCCTAACCTGGGCTGGCTGCCGGCCCCAAGTGGCTCCCACCTCCTCTGCAGGACACCTCGCCTCATTCAGGCCCCTTGTAGAGTGCTGAGAGGGCGTCCCCTCGCTCTGAGGCACAGGCCAAGGGCTGGGCCTCCATCCACAGAGTTGGACGGGGAGGGCTGGGCCTGACTGCTGCTTCTGACAGGCATCAACCCGGCGTCGCTGAGAGGGACACACACTGGTGTCTGGGTGGGTGTGAGTGGCTCCGAGGCATCGGAGGCCCTGAGCCGGGACCCTGAGACGCTCCTGGGCTACAGCATGGTGGGCTGCCAGCGAGCCATGATGGCCAACAGGCTCTCCTTCTTCTTTGACTTCAAAGGTAGGTTTAACCCAGGCCTCCCAGGTGGCATAACCCGGCTCTGGGTCTCTGGCTCCCTCGCGTGTTGTTCAGAAACCCAGTGGGGCCCGGGAAGGCAGGCTTCTGCTCTGGGATGCCCACACCTGTCTCGTGCCGCTGCTTACAGGGCCCAGTATCGCTCTGGACACAGCCTGCTCCTCCAGCCTGATGGCGCTGCACAACGCCTACCAGGCTATCCGCAGCGGGGAGTGCCCCGCTGCCATCGTGGGTGGCATCAACGTGCTGCTGAAACCCAACACTTCCGTGCAGTTCATGAAGCTGGGCATGCTCAGCCCAGAGGGCACCTGCAAGTCCTTTGATGACTCAGGTAGGGATAGCAGGAAGGCCCAGCTGGGGGTCTCCCTGGTCACTTTGGCTAGCTGAGCCCTTGGAGTCTTAAGGGTCAGGCAGGGCAGTGGGACAGGACAGCTTTCCTTCTGAGCCTCTCCTGTCCTCTGCCAGCCTCTGCCAGCCTATCCCAGTAACCCCTCCCCAGAGCAGCCGTCTGCCAAGCAGATGCTCCCTGTGGAGCCTGGGCTGAACTAGACCTCAACCGGGTACCACTTTGTCCCAGGAAACGGGTATTGCCGCTCGGAGGCTGTGGTAGCAGTTCTGCTGACCAAGAAGTCCCTGGCCCGGCGGGTATACGCCACCATCCTGAATTCTGGCACCAACACCGATGGCTACAAGGAGCAAGGTGGGTGTGGGGGCGCTGACTGCCAGACTAGAGGATGCTCTTAGAGGTGAAGCCGTGCACCCTGATATAGGGGCCCTGGCTTGTGCACACCATCCCTGCCCCTCAGCCCATCAGCAGAGGCCCCGGGAGCCTGAAAGCTGGCCCTGCAGGGGAAGCCAGCATGGTCCTGGGGTCTGTGGGCTTTTGGCCTCAGGCCTGGCTGAAGAGTGTGTGTCCAGGCCTCCAGCCCATCAGTTTGGAGGCCTG